AAATATACATAAACAGTAGAAAAATTAATTGTTTATAAATGGAAAATAAATTTCTCTGCATGTGTACGATGATATGATACACACAGATGAGAGTTCATACTATATATATAATAATAAAATAATGAATCAAACAGAGACTGGATGAAGTTAGAATCGTTAGAGAATCGTTTTTTTTTCTGCACAGGCTATCTTAGCATTTTTCGCAACTTTTCCTGTTTATATTTATGTGTGTGTGGTTTTTGTGCAAACTTGATCTAAATAAAGACATTGACTGAATGATGTTTATAATAATGATAGGTATTATTATTCTAATGAAAATAAGCACATTGTGGAGTATCATAGATTCTAGGAATAGAAGATAGTCAAATAATGTCTAAGTGAATTATTTTAAGAGGAAGTTAAATAGAGCATATTCATTGTCACGAAGCGATTGTACTGTTGTGTTTTTTTTTTCATTTTTCTGATAATAAGTGGATAAAGGGATAGTCGGAAATGGACCCTAGATCTAGGTTTCGTTTTACTTACCGCCTATCAACAAGGCATACCTGCAAACTAGAAGGAACTGATATTCTCAGTAGATTTTGAAACCTCAGAAACCAATATTCCATTAAGGGGCATTATCAATGAGCTATTCAGGTCTAAATTGACATATTATGGGGTTGAAGTGCTTATCTCCATTTGTTACTGAGTATTGAACAATGTAAAGTTCGTTGGAGCTGATCGAGTATTATTGGGCTGGTAGAAATATCATGCTGACGAGAGCCGCGAGTTTCCTACTGGTTTACTACTACTACTACTACTACTACTACTACTACAACTACAACTACTACTACTACTACTACTACTACCACACACTAGATTTCAAAATATAGATAAGGTAACAGTGAGTCTCTTAGGTTAGTGGTTACATTAAAACCTGGTTGATAGTGTTTGATTTGCAAACAGGATTAGGCAAACATGATAATTGTTACTACTATGTGATTAATTAATGTTTTTTTAGCTCCGAATATTTCACCAGCAACCAGCCACGATCCCATTGTCAACAGAATACAAAACAAAAGTTCTTTAAACAAAAAAAGACTGTGAAATCATGGAATGCATATTAAATGACTCATATTCTCAATTTTAGTCAAGTGATATCATTTTGTGATGAAAATAACCTTTAGAAGATATAAATATCTTCACATAATTAACTCCAGTCCGAATGCATTATGATTTTTTCGGATCAATTCATTTTTATTTTAGGGTTGTGGAGATTGTTCAGTTACTTTGAAATCATGAATCAGTCAACGTCAGACCACCATTAGAAACCTGAAGAAGTTTCTCCGAGTTCTAGTGCGAAGTCGTGAGCAGTGGAGTTCAAACCTGTTCGGGTGTAAAGTAGTACTTACTGAAGACAGTGGATAAAGTTGCACAAGACCGTGGATTAAATGAATTAGAAATTGATTACCGTTGAATGCCGGGCTCACTAGTTCAGAGGTTAATTGTCGAAGGGCAAGACCAAAGTTCCTGGGTTCGGTTCCTGAGAGAAGCAATAGTCATGGATGCACACTGCTGAAGAGTCCCATACGAGGACGAAACGGCCATCCATTGTTTCCGGGTTTCTGATTGTGGTCTAGCATTGATTGGTTCATGATTTCAAGAATTAAATAACTGACAATTTATAGTACTTTTGGATATAGTTTACCTATTAAATACCTAGTTTCATTCAACAAAAGTGTGTTTATGTTGAGGCTAGACAATAAACCACACTAACAACTAACAGTAAACCAACTTTGAACTTCATGATGTACATATATATAGATATTTCTAACTAAAGTATTTATCACAAGTAAAATCATCTCTGGATCAACAAGAACCAAGAATGATAAAATTTACAACAACAGATTTGGTTTGTGCGAATAGATATGAATAGTGACTCAGATGATCACTGAATGTTGAGATGTAACATTAAAGATGTTGGGAGACTTATCTTTTAAAAGAGCATAGTTTTGCTTTGATAAAGAGTTAACATTTGCAAAGATCAATAAATACAATGAAATAACAACTGGATTTATCCACTGTTGTCTTTATGGACTTGTCCAGACAGCTGAATCAAAAACACAAGTGAAATAAAGTTAACACTGGAAATGAAATTCTTAGAGAAATGAGAAGACATATTTTGTTAGCTAGACCCAAAATCAGCCTTTAGAGTTGTGACATGTCATCAAAACCCACACACACTGAAACTACTCGAAGCTATCTTGATTGGTCAGAAAAGTCCAACTTGATGTGTTCAAAAACAACTGTATGTTGACCTTTGTTTACCATGGTTCTGGTGAGTGATTGTCATGCTAAATAAGAAATTTTGACCTTATCTTCAAAACTGTATTTACACAAATAACATGTTGCTTGTATATGACTGACGAGAAAGCACGAAATGGTACTATCTCACAAAATATGTCTTCTCATTTCTCTATTAAAATTTATCAAAGGGAACCACTGTTTTGAAATTCTTAGAGTAAATTACTCTGTAATATATTGTGCTTATCCACGAAATGAATTTTAAATGAAATTTTGACAGCTTGTAGATTTATAATACTTGTATTACAATACAAATGTCATTGGTATAAATTGTGATTAAAAATCTTTTTAATATTTTTTACTCCATTCTAATCTAATATAATATTTGATTATTAATTTTTTTTTACGTGTGCACATATCCTCTATATAACTTACAAGACATTCAGTGACATGATTTACAATATAAAGACTTGTTTAAAATCAAAAAAAACTCTGTATCATTGATTGGTTGGAAGATCATTAACTTTCTCTGTAGGGTATATACAGAGTAACTTGTTCAATATCACATTTTGAAAATAAAATGTTTGATTTACAAAAGTAGATTCAATATATCATTGAAATAAATTTAAAAGAAGCCAGAAACTCCTATCCAGAATTTGATAATTTGATTTATAAATCTGAAAGAATTTAAAAATCGAAGAACTTAAGTCTTCCAGTTCGGTTGTATAAGGGAGAAGTATATCACATCGGCTTTGACAGAGCACCATTAGAAAGTAGTGTTTATTGAAAATAACAAGATTAGTATCAGTGGTAAATATAATTTTTAGAAATTTATATATATAGGCGAATAATTTCGCATACATCTTCCAATGAAATAATGATCGATAAAAAATTGTATAGGAAGAAATGACTTAAACATCTATCGTGTAACATTCTAATTGCCATTCATATCTATTGCTCAGTCAGTATACATAACAGATTGATGCACTTGAGAAACTGCTACATAGGTATTCATTTATTTATCATTAATGTTGATAGAATCTTCAAAGTTTTTTTTACCAATTCTTTGTTATTTGTCAATTAATTTTACTTGAACACGTTCATTCTGATCAACCGATCGCTTTACACGTATATTCATATATATTTCTATTCATATTTCATTGAGATGTCGATTAACGATGGAAAGCCTAAAAAAGTATTCTGATTTCGAAAATCGATAAACACTGCTCTCATTTAAGATGTCATAAACGTATTTACAAGATACCAATCATATAATAAATTGGATATTTACGATACTAACTGCTATTGATACAAGACTTTGATTCTTAACTGTTCTGTTTGTGTACATATGCGAATCCTTATATGTAATGCTAAGATAAATCATTTTAAAATCTCTGAAAGAGTTGCAGTTATTAATAATATCTTTCAAATGTAAAATATATAATGAACTGTGTTATTTATAGAGAGATATTAATGATTTAACCATTTGAAATCACTTTGAACAGTTGATTGATTTTGGTACATTGGAATGATGCATGCATTTGAAATAAGATCTGCATTACAGCTAAGTTCAAACGAAATGGTTTTATTTTATCGGATAATTAGTCTGGTGTTTTAGAAACTAAGTCACTTGACTCGCCTGTGATAAATTTACAAATATTCACTCTATTCAGTAAACACGTTAATTGTAGCATGATTTTGAAAGTGTAGACTTGTAGATTGATTGACTTATAACTAATGCTTTTAGTTCTATCTAAAGTTTCGAGTAAGTTAGTTGATCATAAGTAAAGTAGAATTTATGTATTAGTTCAAGTGGCCACATCATAACAAACTATCAGGATAAAACCCTAAGGTAGCGAAACTAATAATGGTTTCAACAATAGTGGAAAACTCTAGGAATTGAGTGAGAGGTATGATTTGCGGTGGAATAACGAATTCGTAATTCGGTAGTTCATATGACTGTTTTTAAACTTCAGACCGAATCGAAGATAAGGAATGATTGTTTGTACGCCGTAGCTACCGGTTCTAATGAATTCCAGCAAATATCTCTAAATATTAGTTACGATGGTCACATGCACTGCAACACTGTAACTTGTACCTATCAGTGTAATTCATTTCAACAGTCAATCACTTCAAAGCCTATTATAATTTCTTTTCAATCTATTCTAACGCCTCCAAACATCACCTTTCTAGGTAGGCAATATTTGAGCAGACGTAATGTATGTTGTAAGCGCATATTGTTGAGCGGCCTGAAGCTGATATGAATAAAATATCCATAGCTTACTGGTTCTTGTTAATTCTTCATTTTACCTCAATTTTTTTTCAATATTTGGAGAAGGATTTAAAATATACTGAATATATAATTTTTTTACAATAATATTAATAATAATAATAATATTAAGTTAATAATGAGTAATAGTGATACATTTTTTCAAATATAAAATTGCATGCCAGAATAAGTGATATAATTATAATAATAATAATAGTTATGTACAAAATTGAATTTCCTTTCGAATGAAATTTTTGCAATTTAATAAATTTATAAATAATTTGTGCAATTCAGTGGAAATTTTCAAATATTGATAATGATTGTTAGAGTTATGATAAAGTCTGTGCTCGAAATATATGAGTATAAAGTATTTTCAAATTTTTTTTTAAATAAATACATTCGTTTTTTGTTGTTTATTGTTCAGTGTTCAATGTTTCGTTTGACTAGATCAATGTCCAGCTAATGGAACCACAATACTTTCATTACATCGTAAGGCAGTTCGATTGTCTGATACTAAAACTAAAATTAAGCAACAACAACAAAAAGAATAACGTATTAATAAGCAGAATATATTTTAAATGACAGTTGAGAGAAATAAATCCCATTATTTTAAACAATTTATTTTCGATAAAACCATTGTATTACCATTTGTCTCAAGTAATGATCAAACTCTATCGAAAAAGTTTCAGTGTAGCTACTAGTCTAATGGACTAGATATTCCATACATAATATCCAGGAAGCCATAGATATAGGCTTCATGTTAATTAGTATTTATTAGTCAGGATCAACTCCACCTAGGAGTCCTCTGGAGCTACCGCCGGTCCTAAGCCTGAATAAAGCAGGAAAGTTTGGCATGGTGTTGGCGATTAGCTAAAAAAACGCTAACTAGAAAAAATGATTCAAACCATTTAAACTCTGCCCTGGAAGTTAGAAGGTCTTTATTTAGATGAGTTATAACATTTCAAGACGTCAGGATTACCTGTAACTTACCAGGGCAGATCAGATTGCAAATAACAAACAATGAAAAATGCTTTATTCCGCGTTTATTATCGATTAGTTCCAAAACCTCAAATCACAATCTATGGTTGAATACTTTAAATGATTTGTACACTTAAATGTTTAAGATAGTGTAGTTATTTTAATATTCTAATTAGTATAATATAAAAAAATTTACTAAACTAATTAATTCATTTGCATTTAACAATTAGTTTGATGATTCACAACATCACCTACTGAAAATTATTGTGTTTGTTGTTAAACTGAATGATTAGTTTAACATTGTTCCTCTTATTTTCACACTCTCTCCCTCTTCTCGTATTGAATTTTTCTGCAGTTTAAGTTAGCTTAACATTTCATCTCATTTATTCACACATTCAACTATGGGTAGAAAAATTAGGCCTTCTTTAAACGAACTGTATTCAATGTGTCAATCACAGATTTCCCATATAGTTTTTAATTGATCAAGTATACATGTAATCTGAAATAAAATTTATTTCGTGTTATTTCTGTTTCAAGCAATTTCTTTTTATTGTTGGTGGTGTTATTGTTATTGATATAGTCTGTCTCTATGGTTGTATGTGTAGATTAGTGAAAAAGTAATTCTTAATTAGACATTACACTTAGAAAGTTTTGTATTTTCTTATTTCTATTGTATATCAGTCTGTACTAATTTCTATGAATTGTGAGTGATTTACTTCAATAACAGCTTTAAGTATTTATATGTCGAAATATACTTATTGGACTGTACAGCTGCTGGCTATCACCTAACTTCCTTAATGAACGATCATGTTTATTTATTGATCGGAAAAGAAAATATCATGAAGTTCCAAATGAAAGATTATGATATTAAATAATTATTTTATGAAACGAAACTATTTTAAAATGATATTTCTGGTTTAATGTTGAAATTCCTGAAAGTCTTACTATTTTTTTAAGTAAATTCAATACTGTTTTCACAAAGCTAAAGTTCTACAAAATCGAGTCCCTTTGAAAATACAATGATTAGTTTCATTTGTTTCGAACGTCTGTAAAATGTCGTTTCATATTGTATTTATTGGTTTTAATCATAACAGTTTGCAAGACAGTCCTCAGCATGGAGTGATTTTAGTTGGGTAACCTTTTGAAAACTTATTTTACGGAAGCTTCGTACAGAATCAAGTTTAGGAACTTCAAATGTTTTAGTAAGTTTACTGTTATTTAGTTAAATTATTCTTATTTACTGGGAGCTTGAGATAAACTTAGTGGCATGGAACGTAAAGTCGAACATTTGTGCAGTTAGGTCAAACAGAATTCTTTTCTGAAGTAATAAGTAGTTTATAACATTTTTCGTTCTCGAATGAAAAACATATTCATGTAAGCTTCAGTCGATCTAAACAGGATATCAGTTCATCAGTTTTCCAATTGGTTGATTTGTCTCGAGATAACCTGTTTAATCTTTCAGTAAAAAGTCATTTGTTTTTTTACTATACAACTGGAACATACACATGAAAACTCTTAGCTATAACTAACAGAATTCAGTTAACTTGTTACTTAGAATGCCAGCTAAATGATCCCATAAGACCTACAAAACTAGTGTACAAGTGGCAAAACTTACTGCTAAAAAATCTCAAAATACGAGGTAACAGAATATCAGTGATCAATAATTATTGCAAGATCTTATAGAGATTGCCGAATCATGTGGATTAACATTACAAAATGAATACGCTTACACAACCGATGAAAATCAATAAGAACTTGATAACTATTTTGTGGAAGTATGAGATGCGAAGTAAATATTACCGATTGTTGTTGATGATATTAGGCAAATATTATGAATTGATTAAAACTAAAAATCGAAGCTAGCTAATTCAATTCACGATGAGAAGTTTCATATGGAAATGAAATAAGTGCTCAGTACTTATTGGTTTTCAATGATTCTCTTACGGAAGAAAATCTATGATGTGAAATTTTAAATTAATGTTTGGAAATGGATAATATTGAATTAAGATTTCGTAGCTTAAATGTATCACACATACTAACCAGTCTGAAGATAATGAGTTCAATCTGGGACGAATTCATTGGTGAATCTCAATGAGTAGTCCAAAACTACAATTCAGTTTTCTACAACTACTAATGTTTTTTCCAACTGTTATCAGATCAGAATGAAAACCAACTTTGAAGTGTACATATCAATCGACAAAAAGTGCTTCTTAATAAATTTAATGCATTTTTTTTTTCATAAAATTTTCCCTGCTAATGATAATGATGATGAAAGTTATAATTGCTCTTAAATAAATAAACAGTAGAACGTTTTGTGTTCAATGTTTTATGCATCAGTCATGATGATATACACAAACACACACAAATAATTTATTTACACCACTTGATATTCATTAAAGTAATTAATTATTAAATTAATTAATTTAAACGATCCTAGAAAGAAATGATGGTGTTTTTTGTTCCCAATAGATCATTTTCTAATAGAACTAGAATTTTGTTTTAATATTTATTTTTAGGTCAATCATTATATCTATTTAATGAATCAGAATTTATTCATTATTGAAAAATTCTGGAATTTGCATTAACTCGAATCTTTGTTGTACTGATTACTTTTACTTATTATTGAGGAGACGTAATTTCAGTGTATTACTACTGTCATTATTATTATTGTGAACATGCCATATATAAATTGATACACTCACATTTATTCATATATTGATAACCGATCAAGTGTCTAATTTTAGTAATACAAAGTGGTTGAAACTGCGTGTATATATATATATATATATATATATATATATATCTTTATCAAATCGGCAATATTTACCCATGATAGATAGTTTTCCTAAACTTATTCGTACGTGCCTATGTTTTGTGTACATTTAGGTGTGTGTGTGTGTGCATGTGTGAAACAGTGAACAGTTTTGGTTCTTTTCATATGCAAATGTATAAAATGATGATTATTCTATGTGAAGAATGACAACCGTTTAATACGTAAAAAAAACAGGTGAATTTTTGAATATTATTCGTTAAGATAATGAAAAAAAGATGCGTAAGTGCATTTTTGTATGCACCTGTGTATATCTAGTTATTTATATATTTACTTATTGATATACAATTCAATTTAATTAAGACAGATTAAAGATCTTTAATTCTAAGAAGTTAACCTTTTAAGATTACTGTTATGGTTTTTACATTAAAAATGATTTTTTTCCTAAAAAAATATATTGGGATTGTGCTTTACTATTTATGGAATGAATTGTTTATGTACTCAGTGATCATTCTCACTACTTTTTTTTTCTTAGTTTAATTTGACAGTCAACTTGATATTTAATCATTTTACCACAGTTAGCTTCAACAATATGTGTTTATACTTTCAATTAGGAGATGAAGAAGGGGGGGTTAAAATTAACAACTGATTGAAGGGAGGTATTTACCATAAATAAGACTCATTGAAATTCCGAATCGATCATTGTTAAACCACCATTAGAAACTTGGAAGCACTCGATGACCGCTTCATTCTAGTATAGAACTCACCCAACAATGAGCATCCATAAAGCCTACATGCGAGAATAGAATGCAGAACCTACGGTCTCGGGCGCGATCGCCTAACCTCTAGACCACTGAGCTGGCATCTAACAATGTTAATGTCGAACTTTAATCGATTCGCGATATTGCTTAACCTCACTGCCTACACTCGACACGACTGAACTTCAGTGACCACATCCTCACTAGTGAGCAAATTTTATGATTGTTGTTTATCACTAAAATCATCAATCAATCATTGTAAGACCACCATTTGAAAACCTGAAAGTTCTGGGCGGCCATTTCGGCTCATCATCCTGCAACAGTGTTGTCACAAGTTGGAACCCTTTATCGATATTCAGATTAAATTTCAATTACCATTCATTTCCTACTTAATCAAATCTTTTAGTTAGAATAAAACCATTAAAATCTAGATCAAGAATCTAACAGTTCACATGGTCAAGTAATATTGTATAATTTTTGTCAAATTTTACCAATGTGTATATCCGAACAATTGACTGTTTTATTTCCAATTTAATTATTGTAACAAGTCAAAGCGCGCTTTACTGAAACAGTCAACAAGTTTACAAAACAATCACTTAAGTGTAGCATGAATATTAATCATAAACTATCCAATTTGTTAGATTTTTTTTATAAATTCAGTGCAGTTTTTTCTTCACAACATAAACTCTGACATCAACTGATTTTACTTGATTCATTATTTTTAGAGAAATTATCACAGTTCACCAATAAAAAGGAGTATTCTAGTTAGTTGTAATTATTCAACCAGTTAGTATTTATAAATGTTTAATTAAAAATGAATTACTTATAAATGACTTACTGGTTTGTGATTGATCACCAGTTTTTAAAATGTTCAATGTTTCATAGGGTGTACACATATTCCATGTGGTTGTCTGTGAATAATTATTGTTAAAATCGATTAATTTAGAATCCTGAAATAGATAGAACAAATTAAACGAATAAATGAAATGATCATTAAATTATCTGGTTATACTAGATTATTTTAACAAGTAATTTCTGTTATCTGGTTATAATAGATTATTTCTGTTCATATATCTATTTAGATAGATAGATAAATCATAATTTATTTTAAAATTGAAATATTAACGTGAATAACTAGTTTGAATAATCTTCTAATATGCTTTAGAATATCCTTAACATTTTCACTGTTCAATAAGGATGTTGTGTATCTTGTTTTCAGGCATTTTTCTGTGTATTTGATAAATAACTATAACGAATATCAGCTTAGTTTTCATAAAAGATTTCATTGCAAGAACCTTCGCGTTACTTTTATAATTTTAAACAACTCTGAACTCTTAAAATCTTTACCAAGTGGAAAAGTAGCTAAAAACACTGGGAGCAACACCCTAGTTGAATAGTTAGAACATTCTGTATAACCCTTGTTCAGATGTTTCAGCAGTAATAATGTTTTTCTTAATGATAACCGATTAGTTACTTGCGTTCAAAATACCTTAGGAAAAAACTCATTCGCCTGTAAATATTAGTTTTTTTTCATAATAGAACCAATTCATCTATGATCGAAGGTACGTTATACTAACTGAATTTAGCGGGGGTAAATGAAGTAAATTTAGTGCGTTCCAAATGTTTTCTTCCATTTACCGAACAGAAGTATCATATGCTATTTGGAATATCTCAGAAATGATCATACATGTTACAACGTATCTCAATAATTTAGTTATATGTAACTAAGAATAACTCTGGCTGGAGCCATTCTAGGGTTACTGCTGATCACAAGCCCCGATAAAGTAGGAAGGTTGGGCATGGGGTTAGTGACCCCAAACCATAGAATTTCAGCTCGCCGATCGGCGGCATATACTCGATTGGGGGTAACAGGCGTAAGTAAGTAACTCCGAGTAAAAATATGGTTATTTTTTTACAAACAAATACCATTATAGTTGAAAAATGAACAAGTTGTGGATGTTTGCATAATTGTAACTGTGAATTAAGACAGTTCAATATTCAATTTTAGACATTATATCTTCATGGGATATCACAAACTAAAACCAGTCGAAAATCAATTCATATTTGAGAACTGTTTTATTCTAAATCTGAACTTATTCAATAGTTTGAAGTGACAATTGTTATATTAGATTTGACCAAACAAAAAACCAATACAATGTTATCCTTTAAAGCTTAGTGGTTATAATTTGAATTTTAATGCAAAGTATGAAACAATGAAAAGAATAGTTGTTTAGTGAGTGGACTCTTCTTTTCATAGTACAATTGAATGATTCATTAAACTGATGTTATTTCTTATTGGGAATTGTTTAGAATTTATCTGTCATATATATATATATATATATATATATATATATATATATATATATATATATATATATATATATATTAATTTAGGAGTTTTAAAATAGTATTTATTGTTGTAGTACACAAAAATTATTTACATTCTGATTTATTCTTGTTTTCAAAAAAAATAAATTCTTTTTTTGAGAAATTACTAACAGTTGGCACGATTTTTTTTCACTTCAAATTTTTTTTCCTATCCATCTCAACAACTAACTGTCATCTTGACAATTAACTATGAAAATATTTACTCATAAATTAAAAAAGAAAACACTGCTGCCTGGATAAACGAGAATGGTTGAGCTCTCTAAAAGATGTTAACCAGAACAAATATCCACATGACATTAATGCAGTAATAGACTTCTTAGCGGAAGTATATGTAAGTTAAGTAGTTTCTCGAAATATTGTCCAAATCGGAGTAGTTTTTAATATTGAAGACTGATATATATATGTTAGAAAAAAAATTTGATACAACCTAATCAACATAGTATTATCTAGTGTCTATGGGCAGGAAGGAATTAAACTGTCACTATCTCCTAATTTTATATAGTGTGACTGTTTTCTTAAAATGCTGTTGATAGACATCTCTTCTTTGAGCTAACTTGATTATGGGTTTGTACATTTAATGATTTACGAAACTAAGATACATTTTTCATCCAGTGATTGTTTATGCTTCCATAAACCATGCTAGTTCATTTTAAAAATAATCTCTTAACTTACAAATTACTGAATTTCCTACCGATTTTTTGATCACTAGTAATTTATTTAAAAATGGATTTCTTGAATTTTTACCATATATATTAAAATATATCGTCAAACAATGGTTCTTAGCGTAAAAATTCGGATCACCTGTTTTCTGACATAAAAATAACTCAACAAATTACTACTTTTTGTTTGTTTTAACATATCAATCATGTCTGCTAACCGCATAAGCTATTCAGGCGCGTATAGAAAAAGTTTATGAGCTATCGATTCAAAAGATGAACTACTTTCGAATACCAATCACTAAATGTTTTGTAACAGAAATTTGTTGAAATATTCCGTTCAGAAAATTCCATATTGTATTTAACATCCAATTTTGAATAAAGCCATTACTATTATTACTATTATTGTTAGACAATGATAGGACTCATCAGTAGTGTACATCCATGACTCTTGCTACTCGCAGGATTCTAACCCGGGACCTTCGGTCTTGAGCACGAACGCCTAACCTCTGGACCACTGTCTAACTGTGATCAGTTTAGGTATTTTGTGCGACTTCACCCATTAGTCTTCGATAGTTACTGCCTACACATGACAAGGTTGAACTCCACTGATAACGTCTTCTCACTGGAACTCCGAGAATTTCCTCATGAAGCTAGTCACTAGTGAGCCACCTGAACAATTTGTTTTCAGTTAAAGTTATGGGGATCAGTGTTTTTACACAGTGAAATCATCAATCAATTGATGTATCACTGACGTATCAAATAAGCGTTAGTGTATAAGATGGATAAATCAAGTCGATAGGATTCCATTAACTGTTGGAATTGATATTTTTGTACATATTCAACTTGGTTATCAATAAAACTAATCATAATAATACATTCGGTATTATCGACTAGTGGTTTGTACACAGAATTCCTATTATAAACACTTTATACTACTATTAATAATAATAATAATAATAATAATAATAACATTGATGTTAATGAGAGTATCAGATATCAATATATATCAAGTTTATGTGAACAAATAAATGCCCACTTGATATGTGTATGTACCAAAAAAAAATAAATTGAACAACACACACCTGTTTTAATATTCAATTCTTTCTGTAAATACACTGTAAATACATTGACCTGTAAGTTCAAATAACTTATATCTTTCTTTATACGTTTTTCTTTTTTTTTGTTTACCGAAAATTTAATTAATTAACCAGAACTATTTGAAACCACATAAAAAAATAAAAAGAATTCTTTCCCTGTCTTCCTATGAATGATAATCTCAAAGATAACAGTACAAATAAGATTCATGAATAGGATCGGTGTTGAAAGGTTTTACTAGGTTAATCTTTTTTCCTCTTCTTCTTCTACTTCAAATAAGTAGTAAATTCAAAAAATAAAAAATAAAAAACAATGATTTATCTAATGTTCGTCTGATATCTTGATTATCTATTTATTCTGAATAGTTTTTGTTGTTGTTGTTGAAAAGTTTTATCTCATGCCTCAGTTATACATACATTGATGCATATATTGATAGATTGTAAGATCAAAAAAAGCCCAACTGAAATATCATCATCGTCTATGAATAAATAACAAGTGGATTATTCATTTGACATAGATATTATTCATTCAGATGTATTTGTCTGATGAAACTCTTGCCATTCTTTTGTCTTATTTAATTAATACAAAAATAAAAAAAGATTGTTTTCCTAAAAAGGATGAAAGATAAATGGACATTTCTTTTCTATTTACAAGTAAATCAGTCGTCATCTACAATTACTCCACGTGGACAATTAAAATTTATACTTATGTATATTAGAGAAAAAATGTACTTGATTTACATATCGAATCAGTACAAAATGAATCTATCGCTTTTTTTGTGTGATTTATTTCAGTGTTTTGCAACACACAATCAAGTTTCATAAATCATTACAATATGTAAGTCCATAAAACATTGTTTGCACATATCATCACATATCATCTAAATGGTTCTGTTTGTCTGTTCAATGAATGCACACCGTAAAATTATGATTACATTTAAACAAAACCAATCTATCAATATCTATCTAAACTAACTGCTTATATCGTTCGATCACTAATGAATGAATGAATGTATGTACCAATATTGTAACATTAGAATGAACACATTGAATTGAAATCAATATAAACCGACAATATTATCTCTCGTTTTAATCTCTCTTTTCCCAACTCAATTTTGTTTAGAAGACAAGAAAAAAAAGGAATGAAAAATACATTTAAATAAAATAATCATTGAAGAAGAAGAGAACAGAAAAATATTGACCATAATAATAATAAATGTCCAATTTACAATTTAATTTTACAGATTTATTTTCACATTTACTAAGTACTGCTACTACTACTACTACTACCACTAGGACATTTCTTATCATGATCAATAAGATAACTTTTTACATCTTATAAGATACTGTAAGCTAAATGTCCAACATTTACTTTAGAAAAAAAATTGTCGAATAATAATGTTGTTTGTTCCCGACAGAAAAAGAAAAATTTATGTTGTAGTAGTGGTTGTTGTTGTTGACAAACAATCGACTGAGTGTGTTGTTATTATTGAACACTATATGCCTTTTTCACTCATACACACACACACACACACAAACAGGAGAAATAAACGATGTGACTGAACAAAAAGAATAAATAACCACCCGTAAATTAAAGAATATGTATACATATCTACTAGATTTATTTTTTCTCTCGTATATTTTTCGAATTCTTTGTTGTAGTAGACATGAAACACACAAGTTCACCTACAACGCCACACATACTAACTAAACTGACTAACAGAGTAATTCTCAAAATGAACGAATACAGATTACACGCCTACTAATTATTCTATCTTGTCTTGTCTTTTGTGCTGTTTTGTTTTTTTTTCTGCTACAGATATCTTCTTCTTAAGATTTGTAAACACATAAATTAAACAGTTTGTTTTTCTTGCCTCTAGAATAAATATTGTCAACTTTTCAGTAGTTGAAATATCATTATTCTTTATTAGAATAGAATAGAATAGAAAAACAAAATCACATAAAGGAATGTTTGTAAGGCAAAGTGTGGTAAGCAATTTTAGGGAAGCATGTTTTTCTTCTAAGATATCTATATCTATCTATATATATGTATATATGTATCATCAAGACATCTGGAATAGTCACCAAATAAAAACAAACATAACGAAATTGACTAACCATACAACTTGAATGTCACCACTGTTAAAAGTACAACTAATCTGTGTACAAATGCAAAATATCATTTGACTATTTTCATACAACCTTGTATCAATGTAATGATTAATGAAATTGTCAAAGTGTGCGGGTTACGTGATTATTGATTTTCGAATTGACCTTAGTTAGTATTCTATGGGAAGGGGTCGCCAACACCAGAAGATACAAATGTTTATTAACAAGTTGTCTACACAACAAAACACTTCGGATCCGTTGGACAGACACTATCAGCAATAACTTATTGCGGGAGAGAACAAACCAGATTCCAGCGGAGGAAGAAATGAGGAGGAAACTCTAAGGAAAGTACCCACGTGCGTCACAAGACAAGCCCTCACTTCGAAACCTCAGGGTCAAAGGAAAAGAGGAAGACTAATAAGCACATTACATCGAGAAATGGAGACAGACGTGAGACAAGTGAACAACAATTGAAGAGAACTAGAAAAGAAGACCGAGGACAGAGTTAGTTGGAGAATGCTGGTCGGCGACTCCATTGGGCGTAACAGAAGAAATTAAAAGTAAATTAATCAATATGTATCATTCGAATTTTTAAACTCATTGATTAACCGCCTGGAATTGCTTAAAATTTGTATTTTGTCAGTAATTTTAGATTGTAAGATCATGTGACCCTGATGAGCATTAATTAATTAGGTGCACTTGTAAACTGAAATTGATAATTTATAGTCAGGTGAGTTATTTTAATGGAGATTTGATTGAAATCATGATTCCTATTGAAAGAATTAACTGCTATCTAACAGCATTTAACTATCAATAATGAAAATTCCTCGGATATACAGTAAACAGATGAAAGGTATCTCCAAATATACTTTTTTATTTTCTGTTAAAATTTTAAGAGGAAGTTTATATGGCTACAATAGCCACTAGGGCAGGGCGAGTCAAGATGAATTATTAACTATGGTGGTTTAAACACTTTATTGAATAGATCACTTTCAAAATTCAATATATGGAACGAGCATAATAATATATGTGAATGATGCAATAATTAAAACTGATTCAAACACTTACTTCTGTTGTGGGAATGAAAGAACACAGAGAATTTTGCATTGTATTCAAATGATCTTCAGCTCGACATTCTGTTGGTAAACTACCAAGTGATAAATCTGTAAGAGAATCCGTGGAATCATGTTTATTTCCATTTTCCAGAATGAAATCACATCTCAAATTGGTTAATTTGGAATTATCTTGTGAACATGTATTATAAGGTAGTAGGCATCGATGATTGTTAGATAGATTCGATTGATTTGTCATCATTGATGAAGGTGTTTCATTTCGTTCTTTACCATATTTAGTGTTCATTGTTATTTTCGATTGTTTCGCCGATGTGTTCGAATGATGTTGATGTTGATGAGGATGATGTTGATGATTATTGTTTAAACTATTTACGGAAGTTGTTACTGTCGATGAATTGCCTTGAGTTACACGGTTATTATTGACAATACTACTATTATTATTCGCATCATTTTGTGATGTAGCAATGATATTCAATGCTGATGTTAACGGTGTCATGCCGATTGGTAGAACACCATTCTGTTGTAACATATCTTCTAAATTTTCAATATAATCTATAGCATTACGTAAAATTTCCACTTTTGGCATACGTTGATTAGGATTGGTACATGTACGTTTTTTCAATGTTTCAAATGCTTCATTCACTTTACGCAAACGGCGTCGTTCACGCATTGTCGCAGCTTTTCTACGATCAATTTGCATTGTTTTCTTTTTACATGCTTTACATGCCCATAATAAACATTGGCCATGTGTACCAGGTGCAAGAACATGTTCCTCCTAAGAGAAAATATGAAGTACAAGTAGAATACAAAATGAAATATTCATACACATATGATTGTTTACTGTTTATTTACGTATTTATTTAATTTTTTTTTCAATGAATAAAATATTTTCAAATGTGTAATTGGATGATAAAAATGACAGATTACATGAATGTAATTTTGTTCAATTATCAATAACAAGTTCCAGAGTTGCAAGTCGTATATATTTATTGATCTTTAAATCCCATTTCATTTGAATCAAGGTAACAATTGAATGAATAACATCATTTTTATCCGATAAAATAATTTATCAGACTAATATCAGTAGTAATAAAAATATGACGACGTTGATTGCGCTGATGATGTTGATGACGATAGTGTTAGTGATCAAAATACTATTATTCTTATTTTCGAAAATAAGCTATTTATTTTTCAAAGCACAATACAAACAGAATAATAGTTGATAATTGCAAACAACAGGCGCGCTGACAATTTTTCCACAAACAAGCATAGATACACTAGTTGTTGTTGTTATATAGTAAGCTGTATATTTCTGTTGTGTAGATGTGTATACTTGAAGGGAGACACACTGTAGTAGTGAAAAATGCAATAGTCGATACACGTTTTTGTGTGTGTGTGGGTGTGTTTTTCAAATACTAGAATAGACGGTATAAAAAAGATTGTATTTATTACAATCATTACTAATGAACTAAGCTTTTTTTCCTCGACTATGTCACATAGTAGCAGTCAAATATTTTATCTGGAATAGTTTTAGTTACTATAATATATATATTAGAGGGTTCACATAATTGTTGTGTATGATACACACAGCGCACACGTACATACATACATTGAAGTGACAATAGGATAAAGAGAGACAGGATAAATGGTCATATCAACTAATTTACAACTGAAGGGGACAATTATTTGCGTACAGATGTGTAGTAATCGGGTGGATGTGTTTTCGTTGCAAACGAAAAGAAAAAGTAAGACAATGCATATAGTAACTGTAACATTACATTGCTTTATAAATTTAATAATATTTCTATAAATCGATTTTTATAATCAATTCATAATAGTGATGACAATTTAGCGTCAGTTGTTGCAAAATTTATGTTCGTTTTTACATAAATACGAATAAAAATATTATTATTATTATTATTTGTAGTTGAATTCATTCCTATTTTCTTTTTCGATGAATTTAAACCACTAAAAAGAAAATAGGCATAGTTTTGTATTCATATATATATATATGCAGGAACTACTTCTGATTTACTCGCTTGCCCCTACTGACTTGTTTATCAGGAATAAAATAATGATGAGAGTTCACATGTGAAATGCAACAACGATAAAGGGATAGACAAAAATAACAGAACAAATTAAGAGGTAGAAACATTTAACACACATCGATCTATCAGAAAACGAAAGACAATTCAAAGTCTCCAAGGTAATTTTTTTCAATGAAAATAAGTGCTAAGTAACAATAATAATAATAATAATAACATTTTACAATTATTATTTTTTTTATTAATACAGATGATAATAACCATAAACATTAAATGTAAATAAAATGAATACTTTAGAAAAATATTATATAGAGAATGAAATAAACTGAACAACTGTTCATAATTAGGCATACAAAAAGAGTTTATACTAATGAATTGAGTCTTGTTAATGCCTTTCTGTTGTATATATGCATCTATCCGTACGAGTTTTTGTTTCTCTCTGTAGAAATCTACATAGTCGATGATAGTAAAATGTCACTGTTGAAACATTTATTTATCCTTAGCATCACGACTGTCAAAGTTTTGTCCTCACTTGCTTTCATAATCTCTCTCTCTCTTTCTCTGTGCATATATATATATTCCCTGTAGTAAAAGTCATCGTGTTACTTTTACACAGCATAAAGTAAACAATATTATTATTTTACTAGTATTATCATATAATCATATTTTTATTCAATCCCTTAAAGTCTTGCATAATATAGTCAGAGAAAGTTTCTCCATTTTGCATGATTACATCGGAGGTGTAATGGGCGAAAAGCCATCGACAACTAGTAATTCACCGCAGTATATCACAAGTTTCCTGTGTTTGAATTACACTGAATTATTGAGTTTTGTTCTCCAGGTAACTTGGCGATCTTGGATTTAGTCTCATAATCACTTATGAGTGTGTACTGCTACAACTCAATCTTTAGATTCACATAAACACTTATCTTCAATGCATAAGTACGGATTCTCAACTGTTCTGCAGCTGATCTGTCCTTCTCAACATACGAGCATCCTGAGCGAATAGGCTTCAATACAGTGCTATGTCATAAGTTCTGACAAACTTGTGGTTAGCGATAAAAAGGGTCATTTGCGGTCCTTACTGTCATCAGTAGGAGATTAACATACTTAATTAATACCTTTACACCCGTAAAACAGTCTAATAACTATCTGGATATGGTCTGTAATGAGTTGAACATTTGGAACGAACAGAACCGGGTACGAGTCAGAAACAGAACGAAAGACTAGTTACAAATGTCAATGATATTATTATATTACAGTCTTTTCATCGTTCAAGAATTCCCAAACAAACCGTTTAAGTTAACTATACAGTTTCGTTGACTTGCTTATCACTTATCAGGATGCTTTTAAAGATTAGAATTTTCATTATACTAAGTGAAAATGATTATGTAATCTTGTCTAAGATTAGATAGAATATTATTTAACCCAATGATAAAATCGTATTTTCTATTTTTAATGTAACCAGTTATACAATAAATAATGCGATCACAATCCACTTACATTCAATTATTCAAATGTCATTTATCATTAAAAGATTAATTCATGCGCAACTATAACTAGTATGCTAATTTATACATGCTGTCTAGTGAGTTTTGTAGATAAAATTGAACTAGACATTTTTTAAAATACTATTCACCTTGATCTATTCGTTTTATGCTTCACTGCTTGAATTTTAATTTATATATAGAGAATATTAGCTGATAACAATAGTAATACTAGGTGGAGTGGAGAATATACTTTGTATTTGAAAATGAAACACTGGAAAAGGGGAGAGAGAGTACGAAGTGGAATATAGTTTTCCATGTTAACATTAAACTTGTTACACATGATTTCTTTTAAACTGGTTAATTAAATAACTTTACTACGAATATAATACATTTGAAAAAATAGTCTTTATGTCAATAAACGGAAATTTCTGTACAAGTTAAATAGCTTTGTGATCTGTGGGTTGACCTTATGAAGTTTTCTGAATATTATTATTATTAGGTTGAAATTTTAAAGGGTGGGATTAATCAGTGATATAAATTTTTAGATAAGTAAGTTGAGAATATTCAATTTAATTTAATTTATTTAAAAGAGATATAAAGATAAAAATTCATAGAGCCATTGAAAATGTCTTCATTAATTAATGTTTCAACTCAGCAGGGTAATTTATCATGTATTCGAAGCTGATAATGCAAAGTTTCAACAATGTATATGAACAGATTGTCATGTACGTGTATACACGACAAAATCCAACAATATGTTGGATAATACATTCTTAAATATGCTCAATAAAATCGTTTTTAACAATGTTACATGTGAGGTAGTCACTTGTCAATGTCATTGGAAGATTTTTACCCATTATTATAAACTGAGTGAATTCAAACAAAACTACTGGATATCGGGTTAGTGTTGTGAAGGTTAAATACTGGTTACCAAACCTGATTGCTTAAGATTCAATCTCTAGTTATATCATACTTGTTTAACTTTTATCATGGATTGTAATCTATCGATCAGGTTACTCTAGAATGAAGTAGCTGAGGTAGAAAACTGTAAAGTTTTGAACAAATTAAACACATAAATCATTTGAAATGCTTACTTTAGCCTCTTCAATATCATCATTATCTGAATCAGATTCATCATCTGTACTGCTACTTGTATCATCGCATACATTTGACTTCATTACTATGGTTTTCATTGTTGACTGTGAAGTTTGTAATTCATTCATTGTTGTATTGGTAAAATGATGTTTATCCATACCTGTTGCGTCTTGTTTCACACGAGAATAACGACCACGTTTACGTAATGATGATAGTGAGTGTTGTTGTGTACTTGATCGTTCAAGTTTCAACGATGCCGTTGTTGAATCCGACTGTATCATTGATTTGGTACGTTTCAATGATACAGGAGTTGTAGGATTGGTTGGTGTTGTTGTTGTTGTTGCTGTTGATGCTTCTGTTTGTTTACGTCTGTCATTTTTAGTTTTTTCATTTATTGTCTGTTCAATGTCAACGGATGATTTATTTGAATCAGGATTTATACATTTATCAGTCTTTTCTATTGATATATTATGCGATGATGGTGATGTTATATGAAAATTGTTATTAGTTATATAAGATATTGGTGTATTGATAAGAAGTTCTGATTTCTTGGAAGTGTTTTTATTCAGTGTACTTTGTAAATGAGTCTGAAATTCATTCAATAGACAATGAGGCTTTTTGCTAGAATTATTATTATTATTATCTGATGATACATTGCCAAGTGAACCTGATGATCTCGATGCAGCTGATGAAGTTGAAGAGGACCCATCGAAAATAAGTTGAGTTTGATCGAAAATACTGACTGAATGCTCACTTGTTGTGCTAGGAGTAGTAGCAGTAGCAGTGACTGATGTGGAAACTGGCAAACAGTAAATATTATTACTGTTACTATTATTGTCATTGGGTATATTTGTCACATGTTGTTTACCGTCTGTAGTTAACAAACGATGTGGTGTTGTATTATGCAATATATCAGGGCTATTATAGGCAATATTATTCAAATAATCTATTTGACGATTAGCAAAATTAGCTTCTGATGACAATGGAGTTGATGTGAAATGATTTGTCGATGTTAAATACTTAGTAGTAGACTGATGATGATGATGTTGTGACACTTCATCTGGATATAACAGATTTACTTTATCTGGTGTCCAATTAATTGGTACGTCGAATCCACCCGTCGTGACCGAAGGTAGTAAAATCGAAGATGGAATCAATGCTTGTTCATTGGAAATATAATTTTCAGGATATGATGATTTCAAATGATTGAATGTAATTTGTTGTGTATTGTGTAGATATGTATTATATTCATCATTTGGTTCTAATAATTGTCGGAATTGTTGTCTTTGTTGTTGTGATTTCTGTTGATGTAAATAAGTAGTAGTATCATCTTCGTTATCATTTAATGTTTCCAATTTCAAAAGTTCACTTTCTGGCATATGTTGATGATAATGATACAATGATGTTGTTGATGATGTTAGAAATTCATGATCTGATGAAATATTCTTATGACATGCCATTAAGTCATCATCAATCATAGGAGCTGATAGAGTGGTGTTACAGTTATGCTCACTACCATTATCATTATTATTATTATTATCATGAATAGGAGTAGAAGAAGTAGTAGTGGTAGCGGTATTGTTTACTAACTGATGTACTAATGTTTGAAATGGTGATTGATTTACAAACTGTGAATATTGATCAAGATGACGTAATACAGATGTTTTAATCAATTCCGTTTCATTGGGTAATGATGCACTGATAAACTCTTCTGTTGTCGGTTGTACAAATTGACAATTTAATGAAAATTCAATTGGATCGCATAGATTAGTTTCAGCCGATAGTGATGCTGTCACTGCAGTTTCTGCTGCTGCTGCTACTGTTGTTGACGTCGTCGTCATCGTTGTTGAAGTTGACAATGACGATGGTGATGATGTAGACGATAGATAATGATTTGACTGAATTAATGGAATGAAAGAATTTGCACATCTGAATGAATTATTATGACTGTTATTACTATTCAATGTGACAAGAGGATAATTTATTGGATTTATGGTATAATGTGATGAATTAGTTTTGTAATGTGATGGATTAGTGGACAAATTTCCATAAGTAGAATTATTATTATGAGGATTGGAAGAAAATAATAGTCCATAATGATGATTCGTTTGACTGTCTAACAGACTATGACTGTATTCAGAATTAGGTTCTATATTGAAATTCACTTGTTCACTTGTTAATGTAGTATGCTGGTCATGATGATGACGATTGATAGATGGAGTGAAATGTGTCAAAGTTTTAATTGTTGCATTATTGTTATTATCGACCAGTTGTGTAGGGTAGTTCAACAGCTGACATGATTCTGTAGACAGTTCATCTATTTTACTATTATTATTATTGTTACTGCAGTTTGAAAATGTATTGTTTAAACGATGATGTGACTGTTCATATTCTCCAATCATCATGTTGAGTTCACGTGATTTATTAAATGTGTAAAAATTTTCCCCGAAAGTTTTTTTATTTTGAAATAACACAGAACAACAACTGTTAAGTGTTTTGTCAAAGATTTCTATCTACACCGTGCATAAATCAATTTGATTTTAATACTTTGAATGTCCAATTTGTAAGAATAGGATCACTCGTGAAGAAAAATTCGATTTCTTTGATGCGTAACTAGTAAGAAGATTTGTTATCCTATATTCTTCACGGCAAAGCTATGCAGGCAACAGGTGAAATCGTTGTAATATTCTTGATCAACTTCTGTTTTGATTTGTCTATGCAGAAACAGTTGGCATTAAATTCGAGTCAGCTGCTATGAATACACCAAAAATGTGGTTTCGTCTATTTGTGTTTTTTTTTGGTTGGTTGGTTGGTTGGTTGGTATTCTTGGACAATCCTTTGAAAGTAAATTAATTTTCTTCTGAACGTTTTTTTTATCCTTTTAGTTGCAGAAAATGTTTTTTTTCTCCAAAAAGAATATTAATGATCGTTCAATTAGTTGTTGAATATGAACAGTTGTGTTGATCTTCTCAAATTAGTTTTGGGGAATCTTCGAATAAAGGAAAAATTAACAGTTGCAGGGAAAATATAACCTGGAATCAATAAATCTTTAAGATCTGATGGACACAATTTGACAAGTACAAGGTTTTGGGTGTTATTCACGATGTTGCAGAATAAGAAGAAGGAGGAGATATTATTCAATTATCAATGTTATTTTAAAGAACAGTTGATAAGTATATGTAACACACACGTGTTATGTGTATAAATGGGAAACAGTTGCTTTTCACTTGGTTGGAACTGTTGACTGTTCAAGATTATTACAGCAGCAACTGTTGTGGCAACGTTTTCTTCTTTCCTCCTTTTTTTTGTTTGTTTGAAAAATACTTCTGTTTAAATTCACTTCGAACGATTTGTAAAAATGAATAACAATTGTTACTCTTGGTTGTTTCAATCAACGAGAAAATACTATTTGACAAGTTTGCACAGTTGTACCACAGAAATTTACTCTTTACAGTATTACTGATATATATTTATATTAGATAAACCCATCAATAGTACACAGTGGTTAACATATAAACACCACCCTACTTTTTTTTTTGAAAAAATTTGTGTTCTTAAATGGAAATTAACTTGACTTTTATTGGCTAGTAATGTTAAGTATTCCGACTTGGTGTCTACCGAACACGGCATTTTTCTTCCCATAATATTGATCTGTATAGGTATGCTATTCTACAAATTGAATTAATTTGTAATTATAAATGGTGTACAAGTTGGAAATTATTTTTCTATCCTTCTTGAAAAATCGAATCAGCACAATAATTTTTAATTGGTCACTTATTTCGCAGATGATAGTGGATGCCCAATTTGCCTTAGCCAATAGGCAATCATCCATAGATGTAAAATAATTCATTCCAAGTTCTATTTGGCTATAGTGATGCAGTACCACGTGATAAGGTACACAAAGAGTGGTGGAATGAACAAATTTTATACACGATTAACACAATGTGAATTTTGTTTCCCTATTTTTTTAATAATTTCAAACTGAATCCCTAATGGAATACACTACAGCATGACTGGTAGTTGTGTTACTAACTCTGGGAACCGATTCGGTTAAAAGAAAAAAAAATCATTGTTTTAACATGAAGATTTGATTTTTGAAAAAAAACATATGTCGAATAATGTGATCAATATTGTTTCACTCACCAGACTAATCACAGTGTGTGTGAAACTGTGTGCATAGTTAAAGAGATTGTATTTCAGTTGTTGTTTGGTCAGTTGTAACTATAAAAATCATTTTTTTTTAATGGCTTATATAACTATAAAACTAACTGATCGATATTTTGATCGATTTTGTTTGATGCTAAGTAGCTAGCGGTAAAATCGACAAAAGCCTACAAACATATGTTTCTTTCTGGTTGATGAATACTTTTGTTTATAAAATATGATAAGTTTTGATTAGAGTTATAGTTGGTATGTATTGCTACAACGAACTATTTTGGTGGTGGGGTGAAAGTGATTAGTTGGCTTTGTAATTGATCAACTTAACTACAAAGAATCAATATTACCAGGGCTGCCTACACCGTGAAAAGTTGATTTTTGAGGAACTTGTAAAGGAAGTTGAATTAGTATTGCTCTTAACGACCTGTGAGCGAGACCGCGGAGCCCAAGGGAAGACTGACTGAAGCCGGTCTTTCACGACTTGTTTACGGGAAATTTTTAACTTGCTAGCTCTGCTCTTCAAACGGCCTGTGTTGGCCGACTTGCATCTTGACTGCTGTTCGACGCTGTCTGACAGGGTACCTTCCGGAACAGAGATCAGCTTGTTGCTGAGTTTCTTCTCATGATTGGGCTGCCGGTAGGTTCGAAGTATCTAGCAGGATATCAGGGGGAAGATTTTCTTCTGTTGATGGGCGATCTAGGGCTAGCCGTTTGCGTATCTGATTTCGATGGCGTGACTACCTTTCGCCTCCTACCTGTACTTCGTACATAACACGCCCAACTCTTCTGACCACTCGCGCTTCTGTCTAAGGATCATGGTTTGTTCTGCAGTCACGGACAAACACAGGACATCCCACTTCGTAAGAGGATTGCCTTTCCGACTTTGTCTGTAACAGTGTTGATGCAATACTCGGATGTATCAGATTGTGGATCGTTCTCAGTCTTCCTCCCATCAGAATTTCTGCTGGGGACTTTTGCTCCGGTAACAACTCATTTGGTGTTTTTTGATAGACTTACAAGAAATTTTGTAACGCATCGGCTGGCGTCCCCTCCCTTTTTGACTTAACCGATGCCCATTCGACTGCTGGTGGTATGGTGGCGAGCGTAAGTGTTTGATGGCTAGCTGTTGACAGAAGGTTTGAAATCGGGTATAGGTAAATTGAGACCCATTGTCAGATACGACCACATTTGGTATGCCATTTCGAGAGAAAATTTCGGTGAGGAGCTGTATTGTCTTAGTTATCGTGGGTGGCATTACGAAGTTGATTTCTGGCCATTTTAGAAGGCATAAACCACAACTAAATACATAGTTCCATTGATCGGACCCGCAAAGTCAACGTGTATCCTGGATCAAGGATGATCAGTTTGTGGCCACGAAACCACCTGAACTTTGGCATTCACCTTTGCTACTTACTGACACCGGAAGCATTTTTCAACGAACGCTGTGTTATGTTGATTCATTAGAGGCCACCCCATGAATAAAATCTGAAATTTGTCAAGTGATTTCTGGGGATATTACCTCCCCAACACTTGATTAAAATATAGCAAACATTTTTAGTGTTATTATGGGGATGAATAATAAACCAAAGTACTTTAAATTAAATTATGTCTAATTTTCCACAATTCAAGTGTTACTTTCTGGCACATTTACTATCACTAAAGTAAAGCGATAGCGAAAATACAATTTTCGGTTAGACGTTTTAATTTGTTTCAATCCTAGTTAACGCTTGAACGTTGAGGTTACTGGTTAATGTAAAATATTTGCTGCTCGCTTGTAATCTAGACATATGCGAGAATCGAATTAGTTCAGATAATTCAGTAGTTATTCAATAAAAATCCTACAGGGAATTATGTTGACATATTATTGAATTGATTTTAACATTATAGAATTATAGCGATTGTTGTTTATTATTGAGATCACGAATCAATCGATGTGAAACCATTATTAGAAACTTGGAAGCACTGGTTGGCCGTTTCGTCCTGGTATGAGACTTATCAGCAGTGCGAATCCACGACTTCTGCAGCTCACAAGAATCGAACCTAATGCCATCATTCTTGCGCGCAAACGTTTAACCTCTGGCTCACTGAGCCGGAATCTGACGGTGTTAATGCCTAACTGTGATCAGTCTAAATTCTTGTGCAACTTTACCCACCGTCTTCGGTAGCAACTGAAAAGACGTAACCAGTGAAGTTCAACCCTGTCAGGTTGTTGGGGATGTTAGGTCCCCGGAAATCGCTTGATAAATATCTTTATTTTGGACTTATTTCATGGACCGATCGGTTGACCTTGAGATCACATTTCCCACCAGAAAAATACTTGGCTGTGATTGGTTACTGTGTCGTTTTAGTGTGCTATTTTTGTGACTGTCCCAAGGACGTCTCTATAGAGTATAAATAAACGCAATTCGAGTGCTTGGATTCATTGTGTGCTGGCTGGGTGTTTGTAGAATACAATTTCTGTACCACATCAAGAGTTCTTGCTGATACCTTTTTGGTCAAGGGATCACAGTAGCTTACCTGGAAGCTGGTTCATTGTTTTGTTCTCGTTATTCGACTAAGGTGAACTCGTAATAGTTCAAGCATACCTAGAGACAAGCGTAACACAGGTGTAGGTAGTAACTACAGAAGACAATGGGTGAGGTTGCACAACAGTCCTTAGATTGATCAGAATTGAACAATAACACCGTTGGATGCCGGCTCAATGGTCCAGAGGTTAGGCGTCCGCTTGCAAGGCCGAAGGTTCTGAGTTCGATTCCTGCGAGCAGCAGGAGTCATGGTTTCACACTGCTGATCAGTCAAATACTAAGACGAGAAAACCGTCTAGTGCTGCAGGTTTCTAATGGTAGTCTAACAATCATTGATTCATGGTTTCAATGGTAAACGACAATCTCCATTACTCTATAACGAAAAAATAATATTACTCCTTGCGATTGCAGATACAGTATCATTCGAATGTGAAACAAACTTATCCCAATTCCTATCTAGGGACCTGAGTATTATCCCAACCCACTAACAGGTTCAACAATTTGTGTGGCTCATAAATATTTAGCTATCCATTTGTACCAATGTTTATGTGTTTTTATAATCATTTTAATAATGAATAATATAACTTAAGTACGTAGTTCTTAGGTCAAATACGTTGACCAACAACGTAGTTCTAATACAATTTTGTTATTTTTAATTCTATGATGTAAGAAATTATTTGAACGAAGCAACAAAATCAGCTCATTTTGAAATAAAACTTAGA